GTCGGGTCATCGGGTCATATAAAAGCCAACCCTCACAAACAAATTTTCATTTTTCATTTGGCTCCAAAACAGATCAACCCCCCCCAAATTCTCTCATTTATTCATCGGTGTTCTTTATCAAATGAAGAACACCATCGTGGTACCCAGAAAATGGCCGACCAACGCCTCACCGGTCGCCGTAGACCGACGCCGGTCACCGTTAATCGGCGATGGTCGACTTTTTTTTCTGCATTTTCTTGAAGATCTTTTCACCCTCTTTTCGACACTCTTGTTGGTTTTCACAAAATAGGCATCGAGAGGGCTAGATCTAAGGAAAGAGATCTCGAAAAAGCCCTCCCTATGTTCATCGGTCGTTCGGTTTTTTTGGGCTTCGAATAAAAAACAACCAAAAATACCACATGCAAGGTCGAACAAGGTAAGTAAAAAAATACATGCTTTATTCAATATTTCCCTTTCGAAGATTACAAAAGCTTGTTTCGATTTCTCGTATTTTCCTCTTGGTATTTCTCTTGTATTTTCGTATAATTTCTTGTGTAAAAAATAGTGTATCGATTACATGCTTATTTATAGTAAAAAATGCTATTTTCAGTTCGAGTTAGAGTCCCACTTGGACTCAAATACTTCGGTTTAGTGCTCTGACTTGGTTGCTTTCTTGTTGCTGAGAAATCCGGCCGTTGGAGGCGTGAGAAGTAGGAAGTCTGCGAAGGAGGAAGTTACGGCTGGAACGGCATTGATGAGAAAGAGAGAGTTTTGAAAGTAGGGTTTCCTTTGAGCCGGTTCGGGTCAGTGACTCCAGTGGATCTGGGTCGCGGGTCCTATTCCGGATCTGGTCTGCAAGGGCTTGTAACTATCGGGTTGTTGGTCTTGGGTATTCTGCTGGGCCACATTTGATACTTTATTAATTTATAAAAATAATAATCATATAATATATAATATATACTATATATTATGGACAGAAAATTACAGACATATAAAATGATGAAAAACAACAAAATTCATTGACATATCATAGTTGAAATTTATCATTAGTAATCTTAGAAAATAACATCCAACCGATCATGCAATTAGTTAAAATTAATATCTAAAGTAACATTTGTTTTTCGATTATATATTAAAATAACATTTATTTATATCACGTAGAGCAAAAACTCCCCTCTTAATCGTATCTTTTATTAGACGCATCTTTAACTTATGATCAGTTGTATCTTTAAAGATTTTGAAAGAAAAATCAAAATATTAGGAAAAAATGGTATTATAATACTATTAAAAAAAGATTTAAATAATTATTTAACTTGAATGAAAGTAAGCATTATAATAATGTATTAAATTTAATCAAAATAAGGTATTACAATATTAATAAAAAAATAATATTATAATTGAGATTGTCATATATATAATAATACAAGAAAAAATCGTATCACTTATGAATTCTACGTGAATGAATGTTACAATGTGGTGTCATCGGTTATAATCATTGTCTGTGTCATCTTGATTGACATTATCTCCAACATTGTAAGCATCATCTTGTTCAATTGTACGATGATGAATAACCTATGAAGAATAATGATTACGGAGGTTTCTAACTAACAATCACATTGTTGAATTCAAATTGCAAAAAAAAAAAATTATCATCAATGAATATGGTAGAGGTCTCATATTCTCTCTTCCTCGATTAACTGGGGTCGATGGTACTATATCGCTGGACATTTTTTCCTTGACTGATTGTAAGAATATTTTAACTCCGACACAGTGACCGGAGCCTGTTGAACGACGGCAGTCAGAGGGGGAGAAGAACCAACAACCATAGTTTGGTGAAGAGAACAAATAATAGGGAAATAGGGTCTTTTACTAAAATCAATAGAAACGAAGTGCTAACATAATAACAAATACTATCTAATTTTATTAACATTCTAATATTCTAAACGGTGATGAATCATTAGGGGGTCAGTTCATATGATATAATAGATATCTCTTGCAGTAACTCATAAACTATGTTATATAATTTTCAAAAGCTATCATATCAAGTTTTCAAATTAGTTAACGATAAGGTATACAATTTTCTTGTGAGCTCCGTATTACTAATTATTTGGTGTGCTTTTAGGTCTTGTAACACCTGACTGTAAAATTTTTTTTCTGACGTTTGATGATCGAATAATAATTTCTAGAGATTAATTTATTGTTTTTAAGTCATAGGAAATGTGTTTAATGAAGAGAATTTAGTTTGGTTAAAATATGATCTCAAATCTATTTGAAATCGAAAGGTGAATATGAGAAGTTTGGAGGATGAAGTGAAAACAAAAGAATAGACGAAAGCTTGCTTAGTAATTTGAACAAAAGAATCCTTTAAATGAATAATCTAGCTACATTGATTTTTTACTTTGGTTTTAAATGTTGTAACTCTTAATATTAGACAGTTTTCTTATGACCAAGTTGAACGGGGAGGATATACTTCTTATGGTCACGCGGAAATATCATTTTTCACATACGTTTAACATTCACCCTTAAAAAAAAAAAGGATGAAACTAAGATAGAAAGTTCTGTGCGGTAAACATTTAAAAAACTAAAATAAGACTTTTTTATTTTTATTTTTCATTTTCGAAACTTTTACAAATCTTAAAATAATGAGTTTAAACATCATTACAACTATTTACGATAATAAAAATGATGCCTGACATGATGAAAATTTCAATAAAAAATAAAAAAAAAATGAAAAGATCGTAAATCAACTATAAATATAAATTCAAATTTTCGATTTCAAGTTATTAAGACGGTATGTAATCGATTAATGGTTTGATTCTCTAATGCCTTAAACAGTGTTATAACCTTTCGAAACAGTCCTTAAACTCGATGATTCTCTGCTAACTTTTAGAAAAATAATGGTCTATTTGCAAATTTATTTGAAAACTATTTTTTAAAAGATTTAGAGTTGCTATCGACCATTTGAGGATTAGATAGAGCCGGATACCTATAGAATCATATTTTTAAAAGAAAAATTTTAAAACATCTTTTTAAAAGACAATTTTAAGATCCACGTTTTACTAAATATTCATTAAGAAAGAGTTCATAAATTGATTACGTGTAAAGAATAGTTAAGACACACAACACCTACAATTGATACCTAATTGATTATACATTATTTAAATATTAAATTTTACAAACTTGAATTTAAATCTAAAATATGATCCTTTCATTTATGTAAATTTATTTTTATCAAATGAACTTTTATAGAAAATAATTGAATACAAAAATAAATTAATTCACCCAATTTTTAATTTTTAAAAGGATCCCTTTATTTCCAAAAACAAGAACGTTCATAAGGTTGATAATGTTAATCGATGCTTGATTTATTTCAATAGGAATCGGGAAGAACTGAGAGGGCATTTGGCAGGTATGATTGTTCGATAATCAAGAAGAAATTCTTGCTGATTACTCGCACATATAATCTGATAGCCCCTCCTGGAGCGGCTAATCAAGCAGTAGCCGATCTATAATTATTTAGAGGGTGAGAATACATATGACAACAACATAAATTTTTCTAATAATTACACAAATAATTTTTTTTTATAGAAGTTGGAGGTCTCATTAAAAACTCCCTTCGTATTCGTTCACATACTAAAAGTATGTTAACGAACATTGGAAGGAAGAAAAGAGTACATCAGATTTTATAAATATAATACCCGATACAAAAAACACCACGAAATATCCTCTCATGGTGATGCACACCATTACAACAAAAACCTTAACCTCATAAAACCTCATCCAAAGCTACAGTCAAATCACCTTACTACTAATTACACCACCAACAATAGTAATAAAACAACGCGACAGAACATAATACAAAATGAAAGCAACACCTACAACCATATAGACTAAAATAAAACCACAAATGAAGAGACGAGATCTAATGAGACTTGTATTCTTCAGGAGCCCAAGAGTTTGGTTTGAATGAAGGTTCTATCTCATGCACCATGACCTTGAAGAAATTGTCACCAACCTTCAATTCAACCATCGAATCAATTCTCGCATCAGCCTTTGTTAGGACTTGAATTTTAGCCCGATCAAAGGATGATGGAGATTGACAACTTTCGTCGATAGCCAATAAAAGACCCCACTTATCAGCAATGTTCTTGAAAGTATTCCAATTCCATGCGTGAAAAGGAACACCCTCGCAAACTAGCCATACTCGACGACACTCCATTACCAAACTCTCTGACCAAGCTTCGACGATGGAGAACCACTCTGCGAGAATCTTTGATTTGTCGTTCTTTACACTTCTCAATGAAGCATTGTCTTCGAAAATCATTAAAATCGCATTACCAGCAGCTCTCATTAATGTGAAGCCAGTGAGACCCTTCGATTGCATTTGTCTAGCGAGATGACCAATTTTAACAAAGTCCTTGCACCACCCCACTAGACAATTGCTCAACACCTGGAGTTTTTCTTCATCTATAACACCTTCAACTTTATAATGATTCTTACTCGAAACATCTTCCATCCAAGACTTGCGAAGAATACTTGTCGATGACTTTCTCCAATATGAATGACGAGGTTTGAATTTAGCGAAAAAAACACCAATTTTGCTACCGTCAATACGAGAGCCATTAATTTTAGAGATCGTTCTCCTTGCTTCTTCGAATGATGCGAAGCGAATAAAACCAAAACGAAATCCTTTTGAATTCCTTTTATTTGGAATAAAAGCATCAAGTACCCGGCCATGAGAGCAAAATAAAGATCCAAACCTCTTCTAATGGATCTTCTCTGGTAAATTATCAATAAATAACGTGAAGCATCCAGACTTGTCATTGATGCAATCCTTTGTTGTGGACTCCCCGGATCCATCCATCTTGGACAGCAACTGCGGTAGACTTTTCAACATAACACCCAGATTTATCATGCACATGAATACTTGGAGACGCTCCAGGAGCTGGATTTGGCACAGGCAAAACCGGAGGAACAGGATGACAACTATAAATGTCCACTGCAACAGAATCAGTACCCATTCATTTTTTAACAACCAGATTTTTCTTTGCCATCTCAATGTGCAAAAGAGACTTCAACTTGGCATCAAAAACCATCTCCTGAAGGGTATCTTTGGCAGCAACAGCAAATTTTGCAGTAGAGAATAGAGCGAAACCCTTGGGCTCTTTTCCCTTGAAGCTCACTTGCGAGGCTTCAAAACCTGGAAGCCATCTCAGCAAGTTTTGCAGCTCTCTCTCTTTGACATCTGTAGGCAGACCCGAAATGAAGATGGTACGAACCTTGTCATGATGAGAATGATGATTAGGCGAAGAAGGCGAGGCTGCAGAGGACGGAGGAGCTATGACCGGAGGTCTCTTCTGGTTACACGGGAGGATTCCTTCACCCGACATTAGAGGAAATCTCAGTGACTTAACGTAAAATCCCTGTCGCGCGCCCGGCGATGGAGAATGTTTGACTGGCCGGCGAAGAAGAGAAGGATGGTAGGGATAAAGAGAGTCGGACAGGAAGGTCCTGAGCCTTCGAAAAGGAGGAATAACGTAAACTTCCTTCTACCAAACCCTCAGACTTAAACGGGATCGTGAAAATCAGATACTGCCTTCAACAAAACTCTCAGACGTGGATTAGATCGGGGGAATCGCTTAGCAGAACCTTGGCTTGTTCTGATAAGTCGAGCCGGTCAAAGGCAGACTCACGGGGAATGGCAACAAGACTGAACGCCAGGACAGAAAAGGAAAAGATCGCAAGTGAAAGACGAGCCCGAAGGTCATACGATGAACTGACGACGGCCGACGACAAAAACGGTAAATAACGGCGATCAGATCTGTGCCGAAAGAAAGACTTTCTCGAAAATCCAAACTCAAAAAAGAAAACAGAGTGAGGAGACGATCTTCCTGATGAAAAATGGCGGCGAACGGATGACGGAAAATGGCGGCGGACGGCGGATGTCGGACGGCAGACGGCGGACGGCGGATGTCGAATGGCAGACGGCGGCCGGAGGACAATGATGAAAGACGTGGAGGGAAGTGTTCACCTCGAAAAGTTGTGGATCCACAGATTAACACCATGGATTACTGAAGAGGAACTCCAGGATTTTGCCAACAAGAAGTTTCAGGAATCTGGCTTCACTGGAGCTTTAATTTACTACCGTGCCATGGACTTGTAAGTTCGTTATCCTATTTTGATTAGGATCATTAGTCTGAAATGGATGACTTCATATATACAAGTGCTCTTTCTGGCAAAGCTAATGTTCAAATTAGTAAAACAGGAATTGGGAGCTTACTGCACTACAATAATAATAAAAAATCACTGTTCCAGTGAAATTCATGGTGGGTGAGAATGATCCGGGTTTCGAAATCAATGGTACAAGAAAAAACGTGCAGGGAAGTGTTTTCAGGAGCCTTGTTCCCAACCTGGAAGTGGTTATTCAGACCCTAAACACTAAATCCTACAAATCGAACAAACTTGTTAACATTATACGAGATCTAGCTTTGTTCCAGGGTACAAACTTGTTCGTAGCAGTAAAAAATCGATGAAATCCATCAGGGGAGCACTGGAAGAATTCTTTATAAAATGAATCTATTGTCAAAGCTCTAGAACAGCTGGTTTAGAATCAAGAAACTATAGTGATCAATGAAAATGAAAACATAATTGAATTCAGCAGCAAAGCATATCAGTTTTTCTTTTTCTTTTTTCTGGATGTCCTGCTTTATCAAGAATCCCCAAATTGATCCCCCTTACCCAACAGTAAGCATCATACATCAAAATCAGTTACTCTGCATTTTCATAAATCATCTGAAAATGCCATGAACTTCTTTTGTCCCATTTTCCTTGGAGAAATCTAGCGAAGTTAAAACAAAATAACACAAGCAGTTCATGGAACTGCATAATACAATTTATAACCGATAATACAATCAGTTAATGCAACTGTAGGCCGTGAATACACTATCAGATGCAATCTCTAGCCATTCCCTCTTACCCCTACATCCCACTCTCACCCAATGTCGATTACCGTTCTAATATAAGACACCCTCACCAAAACAAAATCATGTCCATAAAATTCTACTGTACATCTTGTATGCATTCATCAACTAAGTTAATATGTCAGTATAACTAGAACTAATTTCTTGGTTTCTAATTATCAAGATAAAACTAATAGTAGCAATAAGAAAAAATCACTGCAAGATTTTTCTTCCCATGTAAACCAATGATCTGTTCACAGACAATTAACATTTGTACAAAACAAGCAATGTAGTTGAAATTTATGTACACACACACACACCAGTACTACATAGATTATTTATCCATCTGCAATCCAAAGTCCGCCAATGTTATTGAATGATACAATTCATAATGAAAAATATCTTGTAATGCTATTTGCTAAACATTCCCATAGAATATAATGCATAAAACAGATTAACATAAGCACCAATTCTGAAGAAATTATATCCTCTATCATCTATTCCTAAGCAACTATGTAAATCTAAGACTTCAAAAAGGAATCAAATTATAAATATAAGCTTCACTCAGATTATCAGCGCTTAAAAAAACAAAGTAATAGAAAATGAAGAATGAATCGAAGTTAACCAAAATTCTCGTACCTTACTCCATGGAGACTTTCGCTCCAACCTCTTTCATCTTCTGAATAATCTTCTCAGCTTCCTCTTTAGTGATCCCTTTCTTCAACAGAGTAGGCGCCTTTTCCACCAAATCTTTAGCTTCTTTCAACCCCAAATCTGTAAACTCTCTAACTTCCTTAATAACCTTAATCTTAGCCGCCGAATCGAACCCTTCGAGCTTCACATCAAAAACCATCTTTTCCTCCTTCTTATCTTCCCCTTTCCCAGGACCAGCAGCCCCACCTTTCCCGGATCCTTTCATGGCCCCAACGAATCCCATCCCGGGCATCATCACTGCCATTATCGGCATCTCTTTGACATCCATTTTTTGGCGGAGGACTTCGGTCAAGTCCATGACTTCGAGTAGAGTCAAACCCGAGAGTTCATCGACGATTTTGGATAGATTTTCGGAAGGATCTTGCTTGGTGGATTCTTGTGATGGGGTGGAATAATTTCGTGTTGGAGCAAGGTTAACGTTGCTCGAAGATTGTATGGAAGAGGAAATGCTCGGATTTGGACGAAGGATTTTATCGATTCGAGTTAAATGAGAGGAAACAAACCATAAATTTCTCATTTTCCTTTTTTTTTTCTTTTTCAAATTTCAATTTGGGTGTTCGTTGGTTTGTTAAAGTGAGATCATGGAAGTGCAAAGAAAGAGCAACTAGGGTTGTGAAATCGGGTAGTCGTTCAGGTTTCAGTCGGATCCTGGCAGGTCGGGTAAAATCGGATACAGGTCAAGTCAGGTAAATTTGACACCAGATCCAGATCGGGTTCAGGTCAGGTCAAATCAGTTCAGGTTATTTTCAGGTTGATTTGACACCAGATCCAGATCGGGTTCAGGTCAGGTCATTTTCAGTTCGGATCGTTTTCAGTTCAGGTCAAAACAGTTCAGGTCCGAGGCAGTTAAAAAACATGTTAATTCAGGTTCGGATAGACTTCAGGCGGATCTCGTTCAGATCGGGTCACATCATTGGCAGATAAAATCCAGGTCAGATCTCTATCAGATACGGATTGAGTTCAAATCGGGTTAATTTTTATTTTTAAATTAATTATTTTCATTTTTCGCGAACGTTGAATTGCAATTTGTAATTGTATATGATTTAGAGTAAATTACTAAGAATATAAATAATCATGGTTCAATTTTATGAAAAATACAAATTTAAGAATTAAATTGAACAAATATGAAATTACAAATAAAAATTTAAATAAATTAAACAACACACATTGATGAGGGATCAAATTGAAATAATTTTAAATTGTGAGGTTGAAATTAATACAAAAAAGTACTAAATTATATCCCTTTAAAAAGTTATGGGCTAATTAAAAAATATAATTAAGTAATAGGTATGGATCAATTTCATATGCAAATAAAATTTGGAGTACTAAATTGAACAAATATGAAATTACAAATAAAAATTTAAATAAATTAAACAACACACATTGATGAGGGATCAAATCGAAATGATTTTAAATTGTGAGGTTGAAATTAATACAAAAATGTACTAAATTATACTCATTTAAAAAGTTATGGGCCAATTAATAAATAGAAATAAGTAATAAGTTGAGAAAAAAGTAAAACAACTAATATAGATATATATATATAATATAAACTATATAGTTTATATATAAAGTATATGTATTATATATATAAACTATATATACCATGTTTAAACTATAATACTATATAGTTTATATATGAACTATTGAACTATATAGAAACTACATAGTTTATATAAAATATATGAATTATATAAACTATACAATTTATATTATATATTATGTATAATTATATATAATATATATTGTATAAATTATATAGTTTATTAATATAAATTATATAGTTTATATATATATAGTATATATGATTTAGGGTTTAGGGTTTATATTTATATTTATATAAACTACATACTATAATTTATACTTATATATTATATTTTATACTATTTATATAAACTATATTTTATATTTATATACTATATATATGAACTATAGTTTACATATGAACTATATATATAAATATATATATACTAAGGTTGATATTTATATATGAACTATAGTTTACATATGAACTATATATATAAATATATATATACTAAGGTTGATATTTATATATGAACTATAATTTACATATAAACTATATAGTTTATATACTAATTATAGTTTACATATAAACTATAGTTGATATTTACATATGAACTATATATATAAACTATATAGTTTACATATGAACTATATATATAGTTTATTAGTGAACTATATACACTATTTATATACTATATACTATATATATAAAAACTATAGTTTATATTTATATACTACGTACTATAGTTTATATTTATATACTATATATTATATATATAAACTACATATACTATATAGTATAATTTACATATGAACTATATATAAAATTCCTAAACCCTAAACCCTAAACTATACATTATATAGTTTATTAGTATATATAAACTATATGATATATATAGACTATATGGTATATATAAACTATGCATTATATATAGTTCACTAGTATATATAAACTATATACTATATAGTTCATTAGTATATATAAACTATATAGTATATATAAACTATATATTATATAGTTCATTAGTATATATAACCTATATAGTATATGATATATACAAACTATATATTATATAGTTCATTAGTATATATAAATTATATAGTATATATAAACTATATATTAATTTATTAATATAAACATATATATTAATTGAAAGAATTGAAAAATATATAATGATCAAATTGAACAAATTTTAAATATGAAGCTTAAATTAATAAATTGTAACATTAAATTTGGATTAAATTGAAAAAGAGTTGAAATATGAAGATTAAATTAATATATTAAATCATTAAATTTGAACTAAATTGAATAAATTTAAAACTAAGAGACAACACTACAATATCAAATAAAGTTAAAAAAGCCACGGGTTTTTTCCCTCGCTTAAGCCACAAGGCTACGCGCCAAAATCAGCATCATTTCTCGTCAAATAATGTCTATTTTCTCCAACCAGCAGGCAGTTCCGTTCTTTCATTACTTGAGTCTCAGAAAAATTCCCCCTCGTTTTTTGCCGCTCTTCTTCTCTTTGCCATGGCTTCTGATTCTTCTCCTGCTAATTTTAACAACGGTTACTCTCTCTTCTACTCTTCAAAAGCTTGATTATTTTATATATTTGAAGTGTAATTTTTTGGGTTGTTATTATTTTTAAATCTAGAGATAATGATTGTTTAGGAGCATGAGAGATAATGATTGTTTGCCTGGTAGTTGCTGTTATAATCTGATGATTCAGGGGTTTCTTCAGAGGGTCGAAGAGTTTGAATCACCCCAAATACAAAACCAGGTAAAGCAACGATCTCGCGTTTGGCGACTGCAGTTCATGGTCAGGTATGTGGGCGGTTCCCTTGAAAATTCTCTCGAAAATACATATCTTCGGATGTTTGATCACGGAAGTTTATTTCCTTTTTTTATGTTATTTTGAACAGCAATTCCAGGCAATTGAGAGAAATGGCAGATCTGCTATGAAGAATGACAGATTCCCAGATGATTTGTTGGTTCTATCATGTGAAGAAGATTGTGAATTTTGTATTCCTTTCCTCGAAAAAGGTAATAAGGGTTCTGTAAATTAGCTGGATTTCAGTTCGAATGTTTTTATTTGAGTGTTTTGCCGTTACGTTATGCTTTCAGAGGCATCGATTTACAGTTCAGAGCTGTTACTAAATGGAATAGTTGTCATATATATACATACATATATATATATAATCCGAGGTCGAATTTAGTATCTGTAGATTGATTTTTGGAGCGAGACTTGTTTATTCTGAGAAAGAACTGGGGAAAAGTGAAAGGGAAGAACTGAAATCAAAATCCAACAACCAGCTGAGAAAATCATCAACAATCCTCTTCTTACCTGTTACTGTAGCCCATTTATTTAATCTTCATATCTGAGGTATATTCTCTACTGTTATAGTTACCCATTTATTTATGTTTTGGTTTTTGCTTTGATGAAATGGGTTGTTAATTGGTTGTTTATTTGATGCTTTTGATAGATCCATAATCCATGTTCTAGAATGCTCATAAAAGGGTTTCTTTATTTGCTTTTAAACGAATGAAATATGCATTTGATTCTAATATGGTGGTTTTGTTTGATGCGTTTTGTTCAACCTGTGTTCTAGTTTTTGTTTTTGGTTTGCTGTATCTTGTAACATCAATAAATTTAATATATTTTACCATATAAAGCGCCTAACCGAGTTGAGTTTTTGTTGCAGAGAAATCAGTGAGTCTTGTCGTCGGATGGGTGTTTCCTTTTCCTGCCCATTTGCTAAATGCAGTGATGTGGAGAATGGCTTAGAATCCATCACTGTGAAGTCCATTAGCTTTGGTGATGATGGAGTCAGAACACCTCTTAGATCCATCACTTCCACCTTATTTTTGGATCTCATCTTACGATCTAATAAATCAATTTTGATTTGAAATGCTTCATAGATAGTGTAAAGATTTCCACTTGCAAATGAGTATTTAGTTCTATTTTCAGTTTAGTTAGTGGACTTTAAACATTAAGGAAACACTTAAATGTTATATACTATGTTTCATCTTTCACAAGTGATCTTTTTGAGAAGATTTTCTTCTGGTACCTCTGCACAAAGTGAGTCTTGTTGATGGTAAAGTTGAAAACATGGTGTATAACATCTTTGAAAACCTAAAAATTAAGGGGGGAAATCGTGAAAACAATATCCCCTGTGCAGCTCTAATTGGAAGCTCTACCTTTCTTCATTCCGATGACTGTTTCCTTCCAAGCTGAGCTCGTATTCAGCACCGATGAAAATATTGTAGGTGAATCCTCAACACTTAACTGCAAAAGCTTGAAACAAGATCAAAGCTTCACATACAAAAGGCTGAAACACTTGGCTGGTCTCAATTGTCAACTCCATCAGGTGCCTCTCTGTTCCTTTCTTTCCTTAAAATGCATATCACTTGGTTGTACGGTTTAGGAATATAATAGTAAATATACTTATTGCGTTAACACATTAGTAGTTCTATGATCCTCCTTATTGAATTTTAAGTATGTTACTTTTACCTTCATGGTATGCTTGTCATGAACAATGTGATTACATGAACATCTTCTCTGCAGGGATAGCAGTGGTAGAGCTGGTGACTATTCCCAGGATGGAAGGTACCCTTCACGTATATGAGAAGTTGTTCAAGCAATTAATTTGATATCCTCTTATGTTGAAATATGCAAATTATTTAATCATTTATATGTTGAAAGTAACTTTTCTGGTCTTGTTGCTACACCAGGCCGTAATCATTTATATGTTGCTATAGTAAGGGTTTGATAAAGTCGGAAATGTTTGGCACTGTTGGCCATCGAATTCCCTTTGGCTTTACCACTGATTGTATGTTTTCTTAATGCAGGATGCTTGTTGAATCGATGCAACGATGCTTGCTGAATTGGTACATTGATGCTTGATGTTGCTGTTGTTTATTACTCACTGATGTCTTGTAAATTATTGTTGTTGGTATGACTTAAATCAATTTTAGAACCTTATAAATTCTTATCTAAATAGTTACTCATGTTGAATTATGTTGGTGACATTTTGGCTTTTAAAGCTAGAAAGTTGTCCATAATTAAATATGTTCGTAACATTTAGGTATAAAAGCTCGATGATGATATTTCTGGTAGTATAGTTAGGCTTTTTAGCCTTGTAAACATTAGCTATAAGATCTGAGAGTATTTATTTCAACATAAATTTATTTTGTTTAGTTGATTTTATTGTAATTTTAGTGTTTTCAAGTGTAATAAAATTACCTTCATTTATAAATATTTTTTTAGTATTTGTAATGTTATTCAAGTTTTTAATCTTTAATAAGTTCATCATTTCGATTAATATATTTTGATTTTAAAATTTCAAGTTAAGTTTACTTAAATTATTTATCAATTTTCACATTAAAAGTAAATTAGATTTATGAATATTTTAACTCAGGTAATATAATTTAATAAAATAAAATTCAATAAGATAATATTTAAATTTAATTTATTGATTATAAATAAAATTTATAATATAATAAATATAAAGAAATTTATGAATTGGAATTTACATAAAAATCAAATTTATAATATACAAATTATAATTAATATAAAACTAAATTTTAAATGTAATCATATTAATTTAATTATCATAATAATTTATGATAAAATTTCAAAAGGTAACCATATTAATTTAATTATTATAATAATTTAATTATCATTAGAATTTAAAATAATATAATTATATTAATTGTAACTTCATTTATAAGTCAGGATAATATTATATCACTTAACATGTCAGATCATTTACAGGTTGAGTTAATTACAGGTCAGGTTCATAACAGGTCAGGTTGAAAACAGATCGGGTAATACCAGTTATTTACCAGGTCAATATCGGGTTTGGGTTCATATCAGTCGGATGCAGTTCGGGTTCGGGTATCATATTTTCGGTTCAATTCAGGTTCAGGTCGTTCTCAGGTCGGATGCAGGTCGGGTTCAGATCCACAATTTCCAGGTCCAACTCGGGTTCAGGTCAACACCAGTTTCGACTCAAGTCAGTTTCGGATCGTCACAGCGCAGGTCAAAAACAGTTTTAACTCGAGTCGGTTTCAGTCAGTTTTACAGGTCGGGTCAACTTTTTACACCCCTAAGAGCAACCATGAATGTTGCCGAGGGTTTAGGCATAAACTGTATAAGCCCTAGGGGTAAAAAACGGGTCGGGTCAAATATGGGCTTGAAGTTCAGCCCAAACTCTTCAGCTTAAGATGGCCAAATTCTGGCTTTCGTCCCTCTACTATGCTAATATTGGATATTTAGTCCTTATATAATTTGGCTTTACCCTTTAATTATGTGTAAACTATTTCACATACCACTTAACTTTACCCGTTGACTCGTTTATACCATTTAACTTTCAATTTTCCCAATTATGATATTGAACTTTAGTTATACATTCAATTATGCCACTCTTTCGTTAAGTCAATAACGAGATAATTACATGACTAATGGTTATTGGCGTAGCTTGCCACACCAAAATGATGTCGTTTTGGCGACGACTATTAGTGCAAAAAATGACTTCGTTTTAGGCATTAAACTTTAGTAGTGTATTGATTTTGCCACTAAATTTTAAAATATTTACTTTTTTGGCATTGAACTTTTTGGTCGTCGCCGACAACTAATCACCATATGTCAACGGTCATATTTTGTGGCAATATTGATACTAAAACGTTTGCATTTCACTCATATTTTTTCTCATATGATTGATTTTTCACGGAACCTACTTCAAATTGATGAAACTAATTCATGTAAAAGTTCGATGTATTAATACTCCGATCTCTTTCAAGAATGTTCGATGAAGCTAATTTTGAGGTATGTTGTTCATCTTCTCAAAATAATACTTGTCACTGTTCGGATTTTTGAACAAACATATCAAATCTTGTAAACCTAAAAACATCTCCAAACATCTAAAAAATGACGAATTTTGTCGATTTTGAATAAATTTCGTGGAAAACTAATCTTATGAGAAGAATAAGGAGTGAAATACGAATGCTTTGGTACAGATTTTATTGTGTTAGATGATAGATAAGTGGTGGTATTGATTGTTGCTGGCAGTCGAAAAGTGCAGTACAAAAAAAAAAAAAATTGTTTAAAAGTTCAGTGGCAAAATCGATGCACTCCTAAGTTTAGTGTCTAAAATGACGTCATTTTAGGCATCAAAACAACTGAACCAAAATGACGTCATTTTGGTATGACATATCACATCAACAACTATTAGCCATGTCATCGTTTCGTTAGTGATTTAATGGTGGAGTGACATAATTAAATGTAAAATTAAAGTTCAATGATATAATTGATAAATTTGAAAGTTCAGTGGTATAAACGAGTTAGGTGGCAAAATTCAATGGTATCTGGTGTAGTTTACCCTTAATTATTTTATAAGGCTATTAGTTAATCCAAATTGGATATTTAGTCCGTGCAATACAAGACAAAATTCAAATAAATTGCAGAAATGAAATTCTATTTTCATTTAAATGGAGGAAAGCAAACAATTACATAGAACAGGAGACGATATACAAACTTTACATCACTTTCGAAAAAGACTATTAATAAGCATTAACCTTCCTGCAGTTCTTTCTGATCTCACCCTTATAACCTGTCAACGGTGAGATATTTCCCATCTTAATCATGGACTTGGCAAATTGTTCAAAGAAAAGTTCCTGGTTGTATGCGTATTGTTTCACCAACTCCCTTGATTCAGCATTTTTTGTAAACAGAACTTGATCAGAGTTCAATAAACCCTTGTCACCCAACAAGTTCTTGAAGTAGCTGTTATCAAACTTCACACGGCTCACAAAATCTAAGGAAAACATGTTCTGGTCACCACTGGATCTCGGACAATCGATGCGCAATCGAGCAGCATATGATTGGTCAAGTGTGTAATCTGGTTTTCCATTGCCTGATTGGTTGTAAAGTCTCTGCCTGAAGCTGGTGCATCGAGCATTTCCTATAGTGTGACTCCCTGCATGAAAAAAGATGTGGGGGAAATTTGATCATGTTGTTCAAGTTTTGCCTGCTTAAATGCAAGAATACCAATCAAGTAAGTTCACCGGAAAGTGTGACGAGATCGACGATGTTAAGGCCTTGTAGCTTGAACTTGGTGAGAATTGTTTGAAATGTGTTGGTTGGAGCAGGGATATTGTTGTTAGAGCCACTCAAGCTTGCACCTTTGGAATCCCTTCTTCCAAGAGGGACTTCCCAGTTAGGTCCACCGGTCTGCAAATCCGAAGCAAGTTAATATTCGATGTAATGTTTTGGCTAATTAGAGCACAGGGTGAACTTACAAGAAACAGTTGAATCTCCAGCAGCTAGTGCCATGATATCAGCACATGATACTGTGTGAGGACACTCTTTCTCTATTGCAGCTTTGATCCCATCTATGACTTCGAATCCCCTGACCGAATCTCGGTTAGGGTTCGATCGCTTTTCGCTAATTATGGTTCCACTGCTGTCTAGCAGGATCGACGCATCGCAACCCTGTCGAGAAAACAAGGTGTTAAGGGTATTAATTACTCTGTGATATACTAAAATACTCTTATATGTGGCAATACATAAAGCAATACCTTGACAAAGCAGTCACGGAAGTGTAGCCTAAGCAGTGAAGCAGCCATACGGGGATCCTCTGCAACAGCTTTGGCTACAAAGTGTTTGACAATCTCTTGAGCTTTCGGACACGAGTGGTCGTAAAACTGAGGGTAGAGGTATCCTCCTAATGTGTTGCCGGAGAAACAAAGGGGAGCAATGGCAAGAAGAGAAAGAACAGTGATAAAGCCAATAGAATGGGCCATATTGGTTCTAAAAGTTGACAGCTGAAATATGAAGAGAAATGTCCAAAACATGCACATCAGCACATGATGAGAGGAAGCGAGGGATTTATGGGTATTTATAAAGGAGACTTCGTTCGAAAGGTCGTCAAATAGATGGAAAGAAGATTTGGTAAACTAGCTTTGCTTTGCATCAATAAAAAAAAAGGAAATGTAAAAGTTGGAGTTAGTAGTAGCAAACTGCCATTATTTGCACGCAGATGGTCGTGACCAATTCCCATGAAATGTATTAGTTGTAAGTAATGATGGATCGAGAGGGCGGTTAAGGGCAGTTGTCGTATTTTCAAATTTTAAATTATTATATATTTTTTATTGATAATATAATTTTTATTTCTAGAATTTTATAAATTTATTTTTTCTTAAAATTTTAGAAATTTATCTATTAACTTAAAATCACTTAAAATCACGTGCTCGTCCCTTGTTGTAAGTAAACACACTTACGTATGTAAACACCCTTGAAGATACAATAAAGCAAGCTTTTGGATTAGTTCATTAGATAAAATAGCTCAAATAATTGATAAGATACCATAAAAAGAGTATTATCTTTCAAATATACCTAAATCAAATATATATATATATATATATATATATATATATATATATTCGAATCTAATACTTTCTTTAAATTTATAAAACAGGATTCGGATATCAATAGTAGATAATTAGCAACCTATTTTGGACATGGGGCAGCCTTACCTGCTTCATTGAAAAACAAAACCAAACCCTAATTTCTGAAAACTAACCAGAAATGTTCATTCCTTTAGCTTGAAAGCATAAATATACGATCATCAAACTTTACTGGTTTGAAAA